CTGTTTGGGCTGAAAAATGCGGTATAGAAATAAAGCAAATAAAATAAATAAATAAATATGGTGACCCTAAGGCAAATCTATCATTGAATTATCTTGCCAAGATTTTGTTGGAGTGTCCATAGGGTGGGAGTGTGGGCCACACTGAAGCAAAGAGAACAGCAGGAGGGCAGAGCAGCCTTGCATACCCTTGCATAGACTGAAGCTCTGCCCTGTCATGTGAAGCCAACCAGCCCCACCAAGTCTGGCCTCCTTCATGGGGGCCTTGTATTGATTGTGTTGATCGCCACCTGTGACCCTAATTTGGAGGTGCAGAGCAATTTGTATAGTACACACCTCTGTGGCTGCCACCACCTCAGTGTAATACTTCTTAAGACAGCCACCTCACTCTGATTAAAAGTAAGAAGCTGTTGAATCCTTACAAAATACTAAAAATCTTAATTTTAATGGTGTATAATTTCTTTAAAATCTCTGTTCCATTTATTATATTGTTACTATATTAAGAACTGGCTGGGTCTCCTGGCCAGGATCTTTCCAGATCTATCGGTTTGGGGCTGCTGCATTTCCTTTTGTGTTATTTAATTTAGGAAGCAACAGGATTTCTCTTGTGACTTGATGGCAACTGTTTTGTTTCAGTTTTGTTGGACAGGTGAGGCAATATGACCTTATGGACTAAACAGCAATTATAATCAGAGCTATTGTTTCTGTTGGAAACTGTATAAATTGCTGTTGATCAAATGACTTAAAATAACAGAAAAATGCTGAAGAGCTTTTGGAAGTTTATACCTGTTTTTCTCTGTTCCTTCCCTCAGATGGCTGTTTGGGCAACAAGTTTGCTTATTCTATGCATTTTGTGGAGTGTTTTTTGGCGTCTGCAGTCTATCTACGCTAACACTACTGAGTATAGTGTGTTGCCTAAAAATTTGCTTTCCAGTTTATGGTAAATATACTCCCCCCCCCCTCCTCTTACCAGATGTTTTAAAAAAGCTAGCAGATAATCACTACCTCTGAGGATGCTTGCCATAGATGCAGATGAAACGTCAGGAGACATGCCTCTAGAACATGGCCCTATAGCCCGAAAAAACCCACAAGAACCTAATTACGAAATGTCCCAAAGTGTGTTGTAACACAAATGTTTATTCCTTCTAGTCATCTGCTGCACTTTCATATCTCAAAATTATAGTGCCGTGGTTCCACTTTAACTGCCATGGTTGCATCCTGAGAAATCCTGAGATTTGTCATCAGGTGAGGCACCAGATATCTCTTTTTGAAAATTCTAAAAAAGGAAAACCCAACTAGAAATCCCAGGATTTATTATTTAAATAATAAAATCTAATAAATAACAACAACAACAACAGAGTGAAATAATAACTAACCTTGACTTGAGTATAAGCCGAGGGGGCCTTTTTCAGCCTAAAAAAAGGGCTGAAAAACTAGGCTTATACTCGAGTATATACAGTAACAGCTCTCTAATGTTTTTTAATGTGATTTTTTTTTTCAGGGAACAGATTTAGACGAGGACATGGTTGGATATTGATAGCCTGTGCTTGGATCTATGCAGCCATTTTTGCCCTTTCCCCACTAGCTCACTGGGGAGAATATGGAGCTGAGCCTTATGGTACAGCGTGTTGCATTGATTGGCGTATGTCAAACACGAAAAAGACAGCCATGTCTTACTCCACTGCCCTCTTTGTCTTCTGCTTCATCATCCCCTGTGGAATAATTATCACTTCCTACACTCTTATCCTGATTACTGTGAAGGAATCCAGAAAAGCAGTGGAACAACATGCCTTGGGACCCACCAGAATGAGCAGTGTGCACACCATTACAGCCAAGGTATTCAGACATTTTAGTTCTTTTTGAAAAGCTGTTCTGTACATATAAGCATTGTTTTGTCAAAGATTTGAAGTAATACATACCCCTGTGTGTATTGTTGATGGCCAGTTTGTTTAACTCTGCAGTATTGTTTCTTGAGATATAATCAAATATAATGAGAAGCATGGCCATTAAAAAACTACAGTAGAGAGTGAAGCATTGCTTTGCCAGAAACATGTCACGGGTCCATGGAAATTGCTGTTTTGGGAAGCAAGCTCCTTTCATTTCTGATTGCTGATTATGAGAAAAGATAATAATAATAATAATAGTAATAATAATAATAATAATAATTTAGAAAACCTTTATTTATATTCTGCTCTATCTCCCCGAAGGGACTCAGGGCAGGTCCCAAACATAAAAGGCAAACATTAAATGCCCAAATACAACAACAATACATCCATACTAGCAAAATTTAAACAACCCAACATATAAACACGGAGATTGCTTTTAAAAGCATTTAAACTTTAAATACCCTGGTTAGAACTTTTTTTGGTCAGGAGCAACTTGAGAAACTGCAAGTTGCTTCTGGTGTGAGAGAATTGGCCATCTGCAAGGACATTGCCCAGGGGACACCCAGATTTTTTTAAATTTTTTACCATCTTTGTGGGAGGCTTCTCTCATGTCCCCACATGGTGAGCTGGAGCGGACAGAGGGAGCTCATCCACGCTCTCGCCAGATTCAAACCTCCGACCTGTCGGTCTTCAGTCCTGCCAGCACAAGGATTTAACCCATTGCACCACCAAGGACTCCCTGGTTAGAACCGAGCCATGAGGTTTGAGTTTGAAAGCTGTTATATACAACTAAGCTGTGTTTCGCATCTCTGATTGGAAATATTCAATCTTTTTTATTTATACCCCATCTTTCTTCCCATATAAGAGTGCACTTAATCTTTGAATACCCTACACACATTTGAAAGCTGTCGTGCAGAACTGAGCAGTGCTTTACAGCCTGTAAATGATATGCTATACTAGACTCTGCTCCATGCATGTAGCCCTAAACACTGTTGAACTCCCATCTATAAGACTCTTACCAGATTTATATTTGGTCTTCTCTCAGTTTATATGTTTAGTTTAATGAATCGAACAGACTGGTGCTTATTTATGCAAGTCTGTCTTCATAATTATAGCAGGTTACACCATACATGTCCCACTGTATTTTAAGGCCTGATATCCAGGATGCATGCTTACTATTTGTATATATATTGGAGGTTCCCAGGGTGGCATGCTGTAAAACATCATTGCAATTTAGGATTTTAGAATACCAAACATGATTCTGCTATTAATGTGTGCACATTCTCTATCCTTTCTAAGCAGTTCATGCTTATGTTTCATAAAAAGGAAACAGATGCCTTTACTCCACCTGCACAATATTTGCAATTCATGAAGGTTGCCAGAGCGAAATATATATTCTTGTCATTGGTCTTCCGACCAAGGGAAATGTTGAGATTAATTTTGCTTCGCGTGTGTATCACTTGAATAACATGAAGAGAAATTCCCATGACGTAAAATTGAAACATAAAGAAAACAATGCCAGATATTTGTGTATTTTACCATCACAAACATAAAGACACCCATATTACAACCAAGTATGTTATACACTGGAAGGTAATAAACAACTTCTTTGTGTGATACTTTCAAAAGTAATTTTGTATTTCACAGAAATAGAATTAAAAGGATTGAAGACTGTGGTCTTTAACTTGGCTTTCTGTGGCCTACAGTGTATTGACTTATATCTGACTTGCAGAATCAGATAGTGCTCAATAAAAAAGTTTCCATTCACTTTAGCAGGAATCTTGGAAATCCTCAGCCTGAATTTCAGGGGGGAATATCCCCATGTGAAGATAAAGAACAAAAAAGACTGAATTGGATAATAAAAGGCTGCTTTGATCAGTCCTAAATTATCTTGCTACTCAATCTAAGCAGAACAAGCACAAAATCTGATTTCCGAAATCAGAATGATGTGGATAAACTGTTGTACCAAGAGTTGTAGCATAAATCTTCAAGTTGCAACCTTTGGGGGAAATGTTTCGAATTACTGAAGGAAAGTTCACAAACAATCTGCTCAGTTTAAATTTGATTTTTTAAAAACAAAAATATTACATGCTATATGTCTGGTTTATTGTTTGTTGAGTATTTGAATTAACATATTTTAGGTGACAGGGAACTATGTTAATCCAAACACTCAACAAACAATAAACCAGACATATAACATGTAGTGCTGACTTCTGTTTATCAATACTGGTAAATTTTCTCATTAATCACTAAACCAATAGGACACTACATTACTAAATCAGCAGAATGTTGGGTTTTTACAGTTTCAGACTAAAGTTGTTTGTGGAACTATGGGTAGAAAATGCCTCTGAACAATAGTAGCAGAATAACAGTAAAGTTATGGAGAATGGTAAATGTGCTAGGAAATTACAACGAAAGGGATTCAACACTGTGTTCAATGTCTGTGAATGTACATGAAGATGGATAAAGGAAACAAACCCACATGTGTGGTCCTGCTGATCTCCCCATGCTAGCTTTAAGTTCCTAACACTTTATGGTAAGCAAAGAGACGTGTAAGAGCTTCTTTTCAATTTGCATGAATGTAATCACTTTCACTTATTGCTGTTGGGAAGACCTCCAAATAGCTATGTTACTAACAATCTGCTCAAGTTTTGGAGAATCATGGCAGGGTCTTCCTTGATTAAGGCTATCCACCTTTACTGGGATCTCCTTCTTTTCTTACTGCCTTCTGTCTTATCAAGGATCATTGTCTTTGTGAAGGTGTTATGTTTTTCCTTGCTGTTTCCAATGTATAACAATCTCAGTTTAGTCATTTTCGTTTCTAGGAAGTATTCAGGCTTGATTTGCTATTTGACCCATTTATTTGGTTTTTTGGTAGCCTCTGGTATTCACAGAACTCCAGCACTATATTTCAAATTAATTGATTTCCTTCCTACGAGCATTGGTTACAGTTCAACTTTCACAATTTTAAATAAAAAAAATGTTTATGTAGCTTCTAAAAACAGGGCCTTTATTGGTGACCTGCATAACAATCAAATCGATGAAAGCTGAGATTGGAAAGTTATTTTGCAATTAAACTTGGACTAAAGAGATAGATCAAAATTGATCCATAAGGTATTACAACTCTATTTATGAGAGAACATGCAGGCACTTAGCTGTATAAGTGATTTGTAATGTTTCATTATTTAAAGTTGCAAGCAATATTCCTAAGTGCTAGTATATTTTAAAAGCCTGTCTCCCCATTTGGAAATTATTTTGTATTACATGATCAATTTGAAAAATGGTTCCATATAATGGTGGAAATTTCCATTATAGAGGCAGAATAGATATGCCATAATGGTTATTTTAAAGCACATATATAGCTGGGGGGGGGGGGAGAGTATGTTCAAAGCAGGTATTATGGGATTTCCTGCCTTGATATTCTGGGATATAGGGCTGTGTGGAAGGGCCCTAAGACACCAAGATTTTTTTTGTTGAGCTGTGTTATCTATTGGTTTGCTCACTGAATGTTTGTCCTAAATATGTTGTCACATTTTGTGACATGTGGCAGCCTAAATCAGACTACAGTAACCTATGTTGCCTGGTGAGCAAGACTAAGTGTCTCACCATGTTGTACTGCTGGTGATAACAGCAAATAATTTTTAATGAAAACCTTAAATCAGCTGACACTAGATCATCAGGAAGTTTGATTGCTTGAAAAGGTACAATATTCACATAAAGTAAAAAAGATGCAATGTAAGATTGTGCATTTTTAATTTTTAAGGGTTTGTAATGTGCATATCTATTCCCATGTCACTGGACTATTGTATCCTGTTGTATTTTGTTTTTTTTCCAGTGGCCTGTGAGTACTAGCAATTAATATTTTGGACTGAACTGCATGTAATCATGGTAGAACAAAATCATGAAGCATATGTCACCCTGTCCCCAATGGAAATAGAAATAGACTAATAATGCATCCATGTAATAGAACCAAAAATGACCAAATGCACCACAGACCCAACAAATGTTCAGGCATGAGAATCTGTACAATTACTATCCTAGTTTTAGCTTCAGGCAGATGAACTTGCATGATATATGTGCAACCAGGTTCTGTGCAATTTTCTATAGTAACATTTGACATGGATGCTTGTAGTGTCTCTTGAAGAGTAATATAATCTTGATGGAAGATTTGCAAACCACACATAGATACTGAAAGCAAATGTACATTTTCTAGTAACCTGTGCCAAAAATGTTTTCATCAAACATGCTGTGACAGAATACATCTTATAATGATTGACAGTTTAAGAACTTTGACACTTGTTTGGGTACTCACAGAATGTAATTTTTAAACTTAGAACTCTGCTTAGGTGCTAGTTAATTAAAATAAGTTGGGATGTGTGTACCTTCACGTTTTAAATTGAATAGTATACTCTTGGATTATTTGACATGCAGGGTTCTTTTTACATGGAATTCGTTCTCTAAATGCATATTTTTGCACAGTTAAATAACTTCAGGAAAAGCAGTATACATTGATAATAGATGAAGTGTCTTATGCTTGCAATTTCCAGTCCACACATGACAAAATAAAAGTCCATATCAGTTTAAACAAGACCTTATGCTTGTCCTACATGGAAACTATATCCATTGCAGGAAAAGCAACAAGCATAAAACAAGCAACAAGCATGTCTTTTGTAACATTTTCTAAAGTTTTATACAAAAAAGAATAGTGAGAATGGAGAAAAGGTCAACTGAGGGTGGATTAGCTTGAAGAAATGGTTAGTGAACAGAAATGGAGAGCTATGCTTCTTTTTTATACTCATCTTGCTTGGCCAAATAACCTATGGTTCACATTACTTGATCTGTAGGAGGAAACTTTAAAAATCCACTAACAGGAAAAAAAGAAAACACTTATAATACTGGTTGAACATTGAAGAGACATTCTATATCTTACATGTGTGTAATTACAATTTGATTATGCTACGCACAGCCAAATGCGTAGCAGTTGGTGTACAATATGCAACAATGCAAAACACACAGTCCTGGACAATGGTGTCACATACACAACTCCTCTTTCATGATATTTAACTATGGACCTCATCACACTAGATAATGAACCCACTTTAAATCCTATTGCTGCCTCCTGCAGAATTCTGGAGCTTGTTGTTTGGGGAGGAGCCTTCAACAGCCTCAGCAAACGAGAAACCCTAGAATTCTGCAGGAGGCAGAACTCGGATTTAAAGTGCATTCATTCTCTAGTGTGATGATACTCCCTATTCATGATTGTTACACATCAGCCAAATTATCAATCTGCTTGTGTAAGATACCAATAGGAATTTAGACATGGCTTCTTCTGCACTTTCTCTATACTATCTCTAGTAATGCAAATCATTGACATCAAGAATAAAATTGTCATCTCTATTGATAGGTTAAAACCAGATGATAAAACATAATCAGTTGAAAATACTAACATTTGAAATACTAGTACTAGACAATTGTTGGAAATAGGGTGATATGGATGAAGGAATCTATTGATTTGACGTGTCCCATTTTTCTGTCACGATAACAAGCTTTTCTTTTCTTATTTCCAGCTGAGCATCGCTGTATGCATTGGATTTTTTGTGGCCTGGAGCCCGTATGCTATCATTGCAATGTGGGCCGCCTTTGGATCAATTGACAAGATTCCTCCAGTGGCTTTTGCAGTGCCAGCTGTATTTGCAAAGTCTTCAACACTTTATAACCCAGCGATGTGTCTTTTTCTAAAGCCCAATTTCCGAAGCACCATTGTCAAAGATCTTACAGTACTCCAGCAATTATGCCTCAAAAGTTGCTTTTGTCCCAGAGGCATGCAGAACTGTACTTACAGATCAGCTCTTGAGGCTCCACTGAAATCATTTAAAGGAAGAAATGAATCAAGCAGTAACTCTGTGCAAATCGTGGGAGGATGCTCATATTTTCCTTGTGAGAAGTGCCATGATCCCTTTGAATGCTTCAAGAACTATCCAAAATGCTGCCAAGGGAGGCTAAATGTTATGGATCATACTCCTCAAGAAAGCATATCAGTGGATAATAATATGCAATCCAAAACAAAACATGCTTCTGAAAATTATATAAAGGTTGTGATCAGGGGAGAAAAAACCACTGATACTGATAATTTGGAAATAACATTAGAACACATACCTACAGATACTATATTGGCCAACCTTTAGCATATGCAGATTCTTTGAGCAATAGTTTTATTGCACAGACTTAATGAATGTAAACATTTTCTAGCCACTATCCATTTTATGCAGTTATTATCTTACTGTTCTAGTAGGATGAAACAAAGCAGCGGAAATGTGTTAAGATATGTTTTGCATTTGCCATGTACTTAACAGACCTATGAGCTTTCAGAACAAACTGTGTTTGCTGCATCTTATTTGCTTCAGACTCATTAGCTTCAGATGTTATTTGCAGGCAGTCCCCTGGTTACAAACATCAGACTTACAAACAACTCATTGTTAAGAATGGGGGTGAGACAACAGGAAGAAATCTATCCTTTGGAAAGGAAATTTGTTCCTGAAAGCTTCAGTGGAGACAACAAGCCATAACAAGCCAAATTTTTCACAATCCTAATATCACCGGGACACAAAGTAAGGGGAAATCTTCTAAATACAGCAAAACAAACACCACAGGGGTGTTAACCCTTCCCTATGCTATCCAAAACGAAACAATATACATTTTTGGCTGGAGTTAAACTTAAAAAATGCACCTGTTTTGACTTACATAAAAATTCAACTGAAGAACAAATCTACAGAAACGATCTTGTTCATAACTTGGGGACTGCTTGTATACTCTTGTATAATTTTAGTTTAAAATTTGACCAAAAAAATCCTTGGGTCAGTGTTTCTCAACATGGAGTTCGAGACCCCTGGGGGGGGGGAGTTGTGAGTGGGGTTCAGAGGGGTCGCCAAGGACTATCAGAAAACACATATTTCTGATGATCTTAGGAACCTTTGTCAGAGAAGGCTGAAGATTGCTCCACCTATCCTTATCTTCCTTTTTGGAAATAAACAGTGAATCCTCCCACTAAAAGCCCTCCTCCTGCTGTAATTGGCTGTCCTCTCAGCTGACCTCTCAGCCAAGGGGAGAGCTGTTTCTGAGACTACAAGCGGGTCTCTCACCATGTGCACATGGCAGCATGGTGCACATGCATGGGTGAGGGAGTATGTATGAGGCTGGAGGAAGGCTCGTCCTAGTGAGTCCCTTCAAGGCAGGGGGAAAAGTGCCCATGTAATGTGGGACCGAGAGTGGCCCAGCAGGATCAGAAGGAGGAGGAGCAGCAAAAGCAGCTTAGGTAATTTGTAATGCTATTTATTAGAAAAAAAGTCAGTCTTTCCTTTTGTTTTTTAAATTAATGCTCCAATTAGAAAATGCATAAGGATGTGGGTGAGCTATAAGTCCCAAAGTTGTGGGTCAATCCTTCCCAAATCACACCAGTGTTAATAGTTTGCTAAGTTTAGTCTGTGTGCAGGGGCGGCTCAACCCATTACGCAAAGTAAGCATTTGCAGTATAGTTGATTTTGCCCAGGGGCACTCTTGAGGTGCTCTTGGGGGAAAATAGACCTTGACATATGTAAGTTGTAGTTACTGGGATCTATAGTTCACGTAAAATCAAAGAACATTCTGAATTCCACCAATGATGGAATTGAACCAAATATGGCACACAGAACTCCCACGACAAACAGAAAATATATATCAATGATTGGTTGTGGGGGGGGGGGGCACCAAAATACTGTTTGCTTACTGTTGAAAATTATCTAGGGCCACCTCTGTCTATGTGCCAAGTTTGGTCCAGATCTGTCATTGTGTGAGTCCACAGTGCTCTCTGGATGTAGGTGAACTACAACTCCAAAACTCAAGGTCAATGCCCACTAAACCCTTCCAGCATTTTCTGTTGGTCATGGGAGTTCTGTGTCAAATTTGGCTCAATTCCATCATTGGTGGAGTTCAGAATGCTCTTTGTTTGTAGGTTAATTAGAAGTCCCAGCAACTACAACGCCCAAATGACAAAATCAACCCCACCACTATTCAAATTTGGGCATATCAGGTATTTGTAGCAAATTTGGTTCAGTGAATGAAAATACTTCCTGCATATCAGATATTTACATTATGATTCAGTAGCAAAATTACAGTTATGAAGTAGCAATGAAAATAATTTTATGGTTGGGGGTCTCCACAACATGAGGAATGTATTAAGGGGTCGCAACATTAGGAAGGTTAAGAACCACTGCCTTGTGATCTTGTTCATTACTTGGAGAATGCCTGTACTCCTAATGTCTGTTGTCCAAATGCCTGATAACTGTGTCCCAAAACTCTCAACTCAGGAATGGAAAATGGAATGCTGGTGTACAGCAAAAGAGATTTAAAGATGGGGTTAAAGCTAACCTTAAAAACTGTGGCATAAACAAAGAGAATGGGAAGCCCTGGCCCTTGAGCATTCTAACTGGAGGTCACTGCTGTGACCAGCAGTGCTGGGGAATTCAAAGAGGCACAAATGGGGGACAAAAGGAATAAACATGCCAAGAAGAAGGTACGCCAAGCCAACCTTGACTGGGACCGCCTTCCACCTGGAACTTGATGTTGTCACTGCGAAAGAACATGTGGATCAAGAATAGGTCACTCTACAGTCACCTACAGACCCACCACCATGGCACTTGGAAGGCAAACATACCTGGCCACAAGGGATGGCCTATGATGTTGAGTGCGTGTACTCAACTTTATGGAACTAAACTTCATACTTGTGGGATTTTTCTAAAAAAAAAAATGAACCTTTGGGTTCCTGGTGTATGTATTTTATACAGTCAGCAAAAGTATTCTGAACACTTGGAGAGTATTTGAGATAATAATATAATGCTGCCTGGACTGATATTTTCATCACAAAAAACTAATTATCCTTCCTTTTGCCAAAAGATGTGGATAACATTTTCATCTTCATATTGGGTTATGTTCAAATTCTCTGATTATTTCTTTGCAGGATCAAGGATTGGATATGGTCCCTATTCTGGTACAAAATTGTGCTGCTCTTTTTTTTTCAGACTGTTGTCTGTACAGGTTAGCCCCCCCCCCCCTCCCCAGCCTATCCTTTGAAGACCAAACTTGTAATGTGATGGACCTATCCTACAGCTATGATCTCCTAAGACGCACTGTGGGAATAGTATTGCCTCTTTAGTAAGGTATAGATTACAGCATTTTTTTTAAAATAAAAAGGTTAGTAATGGTAGATGACTTACTTCAGAGCAAAACTCAGAAACTGAACCATTTAGAATAGAGTGCAAAATATGTCAGGTAGCCACATCCAGGAAAATTGCTAATATGTATTAAGAAGGAGCATTTTATATTCCATCCAAAACTGGGTTACAATCTTTGATCTTCTGGAAGTTTTAGACCTCAGGTACCAGAATTTCTGATTGTTGAACAAGCTAACTAGGGACATTATCATATAGATATTTCTTCTCTCTGTTTTCACACACTGGTGAAACGGAGTCCCACAGAAGCCATTCCATGAAGTATGGCCACTTTCGGTAGCCACCCGGTGACTGCCCGTGCTATTCGGTCTTGCCAGCAAAGGAGAGAAGACTCCCTTCTCAGGAGTTGGGTGTTACCAAACTCCTGCTTCCAGAAAGTGTGTGTGTGTCTTTGGGGGGGGGGGGAGAGAAGCAGATGGGGAAAGATTGTGGGATGGCTGGCCATCCCCGAATATGGACCCTGTTGGGAGATAACATGGTAAAATGTTTTCCCCACTCTTCTGACACTTTCCCCACTTCCCTTCTCTGTGCTGCCAGCATGGAGTCCATCACATGATGCAGGGGTCCTTCTGACAGGACTTCATGGGGCTCCATGTTGGCAGTGTTGTGGCAGTGGAAAGAAACTGAGCCCAAAGGAGCTGAAGAGGAAGTGGGGACAGCAGGAAAACATTGTGGGAAGGGATGACATGGACCCCGATGGTAGGGAACACAACCAGACAATTTCCTACACTGCCCCATGATTTTGTCCCACTTCCTCCCATTTTACAAAGGGCCATCTGATGAGGTCCATAATCATGGACCCCAATGGTAAAGAACACAGCCAGATAGTTCCTTATACTACCCCATGKCCCCCCCCCCATGTCCCCTGCTTTGCAAAGGGCCATCTGATGATGTCCCCAGTGCCTGAAATTCAGAACACATGAATGAACAAAGGTAGAGAACCACTTATTTAAAAGCTTGTGTTTTGCTGCTAAATACTTTCCACTAGCATTGTTATTAATTTCCATCAGGTTGGCTTCAATTTATGGTAATCCTAAGCATGGGAGAGCTCCAGGACACCCTACAGTCAGCAGTCCTTTTTGTACTGCCTCCTACTTTACTAAATTTTCTTTTCTTTTTTGATGAGGCATGTTATTTCTGGTATGGCTAAAATATAATAGCTACACAGTTGGCGATATTGGCGTCTAGGGAATGCTTTGCTTTAAGGCATTGGTGGTGAACCTATGGCACCCATGCCAGAAAGGGCACGCAGCACCCTTTCCTCACCTGCCCTCCTGCTTACTTGCCCACCCCCTGCTTGCCCCCCTGCATGCCCACCCCTTTTATAAACCTAACTTCTCCCTCGCCTCACTTTAATCAAAAATACATATTTATTAAACTGGAATCTTGCATGCACAATACATAAGTATTAGTTTCCAAAAGCAATGTCACCAAAAAGAACAGAAGTGGGTTGTGATCCACAAAAGTACATCCTCAAAGAAACGATTTAGTCTTAATAATGCCTCAGGACGCCTTACCCCACTCCCACAATTCTTATACTGCAGAAACTAATACAACTATTTCTTTGAAAACAGTTCAACAGTGATAGTGTCATTGCTCAATTCAGTATCTGTTGTTTCTCTGGGGAGCAATCATACTACTGCTGTTAAGTTCCTCTTTGCTGTCATTTCCTTGTATTTCTCTGGGTGTACTTTTTGGAAGATTAAAAAAAAGAAATAAAATACCTAAGACAAGTTTGGAAAGAAATACCACAAGGCTTCTGGGAATACCAAATATATTCTTGTGGGAAAGTTAAAGTTCCCTTCGAGAAGACCATAACTCTGAGGCAGGACTATCTTAAAATATTTTGCTACTTTGGATAAATAATTTATCCCAACACAAAGGGCCACATATATTGGGGTGGTGGCAAGATTAATACTTTATCAACAGAATTTTCCCTTTTCTGGTTATAAGGATTACCACTATTCCATTCGACACCAAAGTATCATATGTTTTCAAGTCAAAGTTTAACAACAACAACAACAATAACCAGAGCTGACAACTGGCACAACAAAACATTGCATAGGCAGTTCCTTGACAAAATTGAAGGAAAAGTTGATAAGGAGAAGACCTGGTTATGGTTCACGAATGGAACACTGAAGAAGGAGACAGAAGCCCTGATTCTTGCAGCCCAGGAGCAAGCCATCAGAACAAATGCAATTAAGGCCAGGGTTGAAAAATCAGTTGATGACCCAAAATGCAGACTGTGCAAAGAAGCTGATGAAACCATGGATCATATCCTCAGCT